TGCCAATTCCTCCTAAGAAGCTAAAACAAGGCCCTCGTCTAGTTCGCATCGGCAGATGGGGCGGATGGCCTCGCTTCTCCCACTCAGGACGTCCAAATCACGATGTCTTGCATGCATGCGGGCAACATGCTTTTGCCTTCCTCCCCCCCCAACTGTGGATGACAGACGGGTGACCGTCGTCGTTCCCATGTCAGCTGCTGATCACCGTTGCTTCTCGCCTTTCTAATTCTCAGGTTGCCATCCTTCAGTACACCTCGGGGGTTCTGTCTCCGTTACTTCCTTACCTCGAGGTCGACACTTCCTTATCACAGGGTGTCTTGATAGGCATGTTTGGTGAGCTCGTTTGTCTCAACCTAATGGGTCCTTCCTGGTGGCTTAGCAGAGTCTTTAAAAACTGGGTCTATGGGCTGTAAGGATCTCCTTTCGTTGCACGCAGGCAACAGAGAAGACAGATCATCGGAGAGACTGGCTCGTCATCATCTTACTGCCATCTAAGTGGTCCACGGAGGATGCTTTGTGTTTTCATTCGGACTTTGGTGTCCAGCGAGGTCGGCCCAAAGGCCAAAGAGAAACTGTGGTGTTTCAGCTACGTCATCGGGCATCAATCGCTCTGTAAACACCTCAGAAGCAAATGTGCAATAGATGGCACTTGCTGTATATCCCGCAAACTTCATGGAGACATAAAGGTGTCTTGCCTACCTTGAATCATCAGCAGCATACTCATAGACTCTACATTGCATTGTGACTGCTTCGTTGTAGAGCTTCTTGGTCTCGAAGAATGTTCTCGGACTGTATATGATGTTAGAAGTCACCGGATTCAGGAGATATCCACTTGCAGGCTGCAACACAGCCCAAACATATGCAACGAGTGCAGTTAGCATCCTCTCCCTTCCAGCAGTGATGCTCAAATGCTAGGGTAACCCAGCATGAACACTTGGGTGCTGCAGGCGGAAGCCAACTACTATTAGAGACGGGCGTACAGGCTGGATTGGTGGGATATAACAGAGTCTCCGAAGCTTGCATCATGGTGACCAGGCCACTAAATTCTGAAACTATTGGTGGCCGAGCTAGTCCGGATTGCCGCGTCCTTGACTGTCAGGTGGCTCCCACTTGCTTCGCTTTGTCTTTCGACCATTTCACGACCATCGTACTATCTATGGTAACATTGCCTATACTTTGGGGTTTAGAGGGTATTGGTTGGGGCGGATCTCTGATCTCTGCTGCATGCATGAGATTGAGACACGATGCTTGTACTTTTGAACTTGAGTAAGTGGGACCGCAGGAGAAGTCAGGCAGAAAATCGCAGAAAATAAGAAAATAAGATAATAATGACCATTGGGATAAGGCAAAGGAACAGAAAATAGAGTAAAGTAGGAAAAGAGAGTCTGTAGATCTGTCAAGTACATATGTCGGTAAGGATCGGTGAGCTCCATGCTTCTGCAGAAAGTAGCGAATTACCTGCAGTGAGCTTGGGAAATTTCTCTGCGATCTAGCCGATCCAAAGGGCGCCATTGGCTAGCAGCAGGAAAATTGGTGGCCCTTCCTTCGTTTTCAGTGGGCGGGGCCCCCCTCTGTACTACCTCAAAGGGACTGTTGCTTCGTCTAGCTGGCGCACCCAGCTGAATTGGGATTCCCCCCCTGCTACGGAGTAGTCAATGCCTCCGTTAGTCACTAGAGTATTTCACACGCTGGATGGTTCGCTCTGAAACCCCACGGACGGGCGGTAACCTCGCTAGCCACGGCAAACAAGATTCGATCGCATTCGTATCTCCCTTATCAATACTGAACAAATCATAGCTACTGCCCGTCATTAGGTCATGAAAAAGACGGACGATGATGGTATTGCCGCGGAGTAAGGGTGTATGTCCACCGTGTCGGTATAGGGTAAATTCTCTGGTTATGCGAGCGGCACATCGGTTCTGGAAGCCTCTTCTAGCCAACTGCGGGTCACGCCAACTTGGTCTTCAGATGGTGAGCCAATTCGTGCGAAACTACATGCGATTTAGTGGAAGGTTGGCGGTAAAGCTAGTAGCTACCTGCTATCTAGCTCTTCTCTCTATGGTAGATGAGGTACACACGTTACCTGATTAATATGTGCGGGAAGTGGAGACGAGGTGTTCCGTCCTCAGTTGATTCATCCATCGTGGCGGCTTGACGGGACCAGGCATGGCATGGGATGATGAGACTGATAGCAGACGCCAGTCAGGCCAGCGGTCGGGATCGGAATCATTCTCCGCCTTCCCCATTTGTGTGCTTCTTTTCGTTCATTGTTTGGCCTGGTAATGAAAGACATAAATTTATCCTTGTGGATTCAATTGGTCCCTAAGTAGTCACCTTCTCTGCCATGGTAGCGAATCCCGGCGACTGTTGATTTTCATTTATTTTTTTTATTATTCCTGCCCTGGGCTAAACTATGGCCCAACCCGGCACCGCTCTGTGGTACTAAAAGACACTAGGCCGGGGAAGACCACGGGGACGCAGGCGGAATTGGAAATGGGGACGAAGTGTGAGAGAAGCTGCATTAGTTCGTGCGTTAGCTCATGTTTTAGTCGGAGGAGAGGAGAGGGGGCTTTTCCCAGAGGAGTGGTTCCTGGTTGCGTGCTATTGACGGTTATCAATTTAGACCATGGGGGAGGGACGAATTTCGAGGCAAGCCGTCGGAAAAGGATGGTTTTGGAAGAATAAGGTGGCTTCGGTCTGAATTCTCGAATGTTGGTTTTCGAACCAAGGGGAGAAGAAGGTTGCGAACACGGCACCCTCGGCCATCTGACCTGCCTTCCTTCACAATCCTACGAAGGAAGTGTATCTTACCCAAGGAGGAAGGTGAAGACGGATTATTATTTCGAGAACTTATCAATCACGACGCCATTCGATCCTAGCAATAACAAAGCCCTTTTTCGATCGCCACAGAACCTGCAGTGAATGGTATTGTCTCCTCATTGCTTTTTCCTCCAATATTTTTTTTTTTTTTTTTCGTATTTCATTTTTCTCCTTACCAAGCCTTCCTTCCTAACACCCCACCCTCCTTTGCCTCATTATTTGCTTCCTGCTGGACTGTCAGTCTCCAAGTTGTGATTCGCCTTTTTTCAGTGCCGCTGTAGCCGTCTTCAGCTGCTTGTCAACGGTTATCCTAGTGAGATTTATCTCATCCTGTACTGACCAATATTATCTATCTTCTTTCGCCGTGAATTCAAACCTGTTCGAATTTTCTCTTGACACTGTTTTACTTCCATAGGTTACGGGTCCAGATCGCCCAACCACGGAGTACGCAGGCAGCAAATCTGCGCATCGGAAGGTATCCACTCTGTGCCCTCCGTACTTTCGAACTGCTGGCCCTGCGTCGCTTAGCTGGTATTCTCATGTACGTAAGGATGTGCATACTTACATCTGTACTTATTGAATGTATGTATAGTAAGTGTACAGTCAGGGAACTCAGTAAAAGTACTATTACCCTGCAGAGAAAAAAAAGCAACAATAAGGGGAAAAAGGAAAATACATATACATAGCCAAGTGGCTCCAGTCCATCCACGAGTCTCTCCGTTTGCCTGCCCCTCTGCATAACTTAATAACCTACCTATCATCCACTCACCAGGCCAGGCGGCAATGATATCAGAATAACTGGTATGTTCACATGGAAGGGCTAGCTCCGGCTAGATCCCAGGCCCCAGGGTAAGTGATGGTATTGCCGTAGCGCATATGTGCGGCATATGCATGCAACATGCTTCACACTTGTCACCCACCTTCCTGGGAGAAGTCAAGCGATCATCAAGTTTAGACTCCGGATAGGGCAGGAACCTCTGCATGCGATCTAAAGATCCTGTGAGCTGGATGCCATTGTAGAGGACCCGGAAAGAAGGTAGGTTGGAGGAGGAGAATGGCATTATGGGTGAGAAGTTGTTTGTTTTCTGGCTGCAGCCTGCATGCCTGTTTTATCCTCAGGCATCAATCTTTTCTGGGGCGTACTTTGTATCTACTAAACACTGTGTGTGAATGCATGACTGAATTTACTTCTAGTCATGTCACAATAAGTAGTTGCTAGAATGCTAGAATGTACCTTGCCACTCAGGGCTATACATTACTCCAGTAATAGCCACTGAGATTATTCTAGGCCCATCTTTACCTGCCGAGTGTATTCACGTTCCATCTACTTGCTTGACTCTGGTTACTTTCCCCACAGCCTTCCTCACGCGATGTAGCGGTAAGACGAGTGACAACTTCCACAACAGATCATACCTTCGATTATATCTCTACTTACCTCTCCATTGTGATTGATGATCAATGTACACATTTAGTTCTTCAGTTCAAATAATAATCGACAGACTAATCCTGATAGGAACATTGGCAGGAAAGACAAGGGATAATTTGGAAGAGTAGTCAGCAAAACAATTAGGGGCGAAAAACCAAAGTAAAACAGAAAAGGAAAAGAAAACAGAAAGCAGAAAGCAGAAAGAAGACATACACTTCCAGGTCTGCTGACTTGCGGTTCCCAAAAGTGCCAGTGCCAACTTCTCTGCACCCACCGTTCGTCGATCCGCGGACCTCTCACTTATCCTCCGGTTCCGACACGGCCAAGGCAGCCTTTCATCCTTCTTCATCGGAAAGAACGACAACTGCAAGGATACGTATCTGCTGCTGCCAATATACTTTCAATCCTGATCTCCAGCATGTCTATCACAACATGTAACAACGATGCAGCTATGTTTCACAACATACCCTGTACTGTAACCAGAAGTACCTGATTGCTCCACCTCAGCTCTGTGGGAATCCTGTGGCTAACAGACTCATCATTTTCTTCTGGGCAGACATTACATTTTGGCTCGAACAGTGTCTCAAATACTCATTTTCACGACTATGTTGATCTCTCTACATGGGCACACTGAGTATACGGCTCCGGTCCAAAGGCTCCAACTGGCGATTCCTTTCAAGGTGATAGTTCGACAAGCGGTCAGATCGGCTTATCTTTAGCAGTCAACTAATTGCGCTAGTCTATCGAGTACTACCTATTGTGGGCAGCCTTCAAGTCGAAACTCGTTCTTAGGCTTACCCTTGATGCCGACATCGACTCTATAGAGCCGGCCTCCATACCGGACGGATTCCGGAAGCTGGTCATCATTGGTATCATCCTTGGCAGTCGTGATGAAGAGCTCCGTTCCCACAAAAACTGGACAGGTAATGTTTCGCGTGGGAAAAGTTATCTCGCCAATGACCTTGCCCTCCGGCGAGATACGAATCACCTTTCCACCACCGTAAATAGCACTCCATATACACCCCTCCTCATCGATGGCAAATCCATCTGGCTCCTTTGGCTCCCCAATGTCAAAGAACACCCTTCGGTTGCTGATGTTTCCGGTCTCAGCATCGAAATCAAAGGCGTAAATCTTGCCGGTGGGAGAGTCGGTCAGGTACATAGTGTCATCCGCAGGATTCCAGCCAATCCCGTTGGGAATCGTCACCTGTTCAACCATGCGGTGCAGTTTCATGTCCGGGTCTAACCTGAATATCACACCTTCGTTGACTGGGTTCTGCACCTTAGGATCGTTCATGGCTCCAGCCCAGAAGCGGCCGTGGCTGTCGACGGCCCCATCGTTGAAACGCATTCTGTTTTGATGACGTTCCCGATGAGTCAGACCCCACGAGGAGGATGGCAAGGAAACTGGATTATTGACTTACCTATGCTCCTTGGCCGGATCGTCCCACACTTTCTGAATATAGGACAGTGCGCCCGTGGTGCGGTCAACCAGGGCGAATCCATGTTTTGCGGCTACGACGATCTGATTTTCGCGTGAATCCCCAGCATTCGCAATGTTGGCGGTTACTCTACAAGAGTTCGGAGTATGATATTAGTGTCTTTTTGGGCACCGCTTACGGTGTAATTATCCTGTGGGCCAAGGAGTCTAGCTAGGAGCGACATACCCGATTGACGCAGATGTGTCCATGATCTTCAGGGAGTCGGGGCCTTTGGCCAGGTCCAGAACGTATAGTTTCTGCTCCCAGATATCGACAAAGCGAAACTCATTTCTGGTCTTGTCGTGAAACGGTCCTTCCAATAAGGTTCCTGGTACATCGACATACGGCTGCATACAGAAACCAGTGTGAGGATCAGCCTCCTAGTTCTTACCTCCTTGGGCCGGTCGCCTTCATTAAAAAATAAACGTGAGATACCATACCTCAGAGACCGTCCACTTTTGGTACTGGAAGCCGGACATTTCGATGGCAGGCTGATGTGCAATCCTCAGAACCGGTGGTTCAGATATGGGGTTCAGATCGGGAGCAACCGTGGACTCAGCTGGGTCGAGACCCCCTAGTCAGTTTAAGGAATTTTCGCGGCGGCTAAAACCAGACGATTGCTGGAAAATGGAACCGTTGTGTGAGTGCTGAGGAATCCAGCCCGAAAGAGAGAATCGATAGTCGAAGTCTCATGGGCAGCTTTTCGGGATTGTCCTCGGTTGCCAAGCCCAGTCGCCAGTCGTCCCCGCACGAACCTCATCGAACACTTTTCTGGTTCTTCTCACCTTAGCGTTAGGGAGCTCATGGCTAGTGGGGCTAGCTGGCTTCTGTGTGCGACGGTGCTAGTCTACGGAGTACTATCTACGTACCAGCACTGGCAGTCTGGCAGTCTGGCACTGTCCATCGGGTCACTGCTCCGTGTCAAGTTAGTCGGTACTTTCACCGGTGGGTAGCCCAATCCAGGTGCCACGGGTGCTAATCAAGTCTGGACTAAGCAAACCGCGTCGGTTTCAGCTGAAACTCGGCCTCTGCTCGTCGTGCCAATAAATAGACATAGTGTCTCATCGGAGGTTCGTGTCTCCCACGGCTCAGGAAAGTACTCCAAAGGTCCAAACACCCGGCTCGATGGCATTTTCACTATTGAGACCGCCGGGATTTTGGTGGATACGATTATTGAAACCCACCATCCAGGCGCAACTCCACCCAATGGAGCTGACTATCACCTGTCATGTGAATTGGAATCAGCTATCTGGACCAACAGTTTCGTCACAGCAAACGTGGGAAAACTTATCGAATGAATGCCCAGGAAAAGCAAAGACGAGAAGGAAGAGGAAGCCAGGTACCCACCGGCGAATGCGTTTGATCGGGCTAATTGAATGGAGTCTCACCATGACGCCAGCCAGCCTTGGTGCTGTCAGTGACAGGGTGCGGCAGGCTTCCCGTGTTCCGCCTCATTTGTTCCAGACAAGGGTCGCGGTGGAGCAAAATCACATACGGGGCGATGTTACGGACAAATAGGAATGCACCCGGGGAGACCTCTCCTTGGAGCATTGTGGCAGTCTGGAAAATATGGCGACAGCCAGTAGCGGTTTAGTTTAGGGCTTAAAGCAAGCTGCGCGACAGAGCAGGATCAAGCAATGTGAGTCCCGGATCTAAAAGCGTTCCTTGGATGCAGACACGGCATATCCGCCCAGGGTCCCAAATTTCGGAATGATGTGGAAGATTTCCCTACCAGTTGGAGGCCAGCCTTCTGACTTACAGCCGTTACAAACGACAGCTCCCCTGCACTGACCACCCAATATTCCTAAAAATTGGATCTTACTGGTAGTATACCTACCTTGTCCAAAGGTCGCGACTAGTTACATTCTACAATGTGTGTCGTGCCAAGAAAAAAAGGGCATTAAGTAAGAAAAAGAAAGCAAAAGAAAAAGGGAGACCCAAAAAAAGCAAAAAAACGAGTCAGAGAGATGGATAGTAAAGGAGCAGCTACAGTATTCCTAGATTGCGATTCCTTCGGGACTGCGCCAACGCTAGGCAGGATCCTCGCCTATGGTTTGGCAGACTTACGTTGCTTTTGCTGGCTAGACCGGGTTACTCTAGCTGACCTAGTGAGAGAGTTGCAGCACAGACTGAGACTTTGTGACTGCCCCCATCCAGGCGGTCTAGCAACATGGCTATTGATGAGCGAGACTACACGCCGGCAACTTAACGACGGAAGTGACCTTGATCTCCGTCTATCTGGGGTGATCGTCGTCATAGTGCTAATCATGTACGAAAGAAGTAAAAGAGGGTGATAAAGTCACGGTCGGTTGATGGGGGGCGTTGGCCACAATCCGCGACGCTGCATTGATTGACGGTCGGACGGCCCAACATTGGGCCATCGACGGTGCAGATATACGAACGAACGGAGTCGGCCACACAACCTTAATAGGTCATCCAGCGTAGCCAGGCGGGGGGAAGAAAGCATTCGACCAGCTCAACGGTGATGCATCAGTTGGGCGGGCAGACAGTACCTGCAGGAGGCAAACACGACCGATATTTCGAGCCAGTGTTCGGTGGATCACTCAAACCAGCAATGTGTCCGCGAAAAATGCGGTGTACGGCAGCAGACTGGATGCGGCGTGTCATGTCGGTCATATCGGTAGCTGGAAGACTCTAGCCAGTGGGTATAGGTTTAGGTGGGTAGTGGGCTGTGGGCAAAGAGCCGGCGGCGCGCGGGCTTTGGGGGGGAAGAGGGGGATATCCCCGACCGTTGTAAAGTGAGTGGTCACATTGAAGAGAGGGGAAGGATGAAAGGAGGAAGGAGGGGGGTGTGATGCCGCATGGCATGTTGAGATTGAAGATGGATGTACTTATGTATGCAAGTGTGTCCAGATTTAGTTCTCTCCGCGCGCGGTGCGATTGCAGGCGGCGAGGAGCAGCGATGGGGCCGCACGGCGCGAGGCCTAGGCAGCCCTCACATGATCGATTCTTCATGCACGACAATGTAACTTTACATGGCGGGTGCAGGTACGGGGCCCTGCGGTATGGTATGTATGTATGTATGTATGTATGGTATGTTTGGGTGTCGGCTTACGGTAAGTATGGTATTTCCATTACCCAGAAGGAAAGTTGTTGACTATCAAGTAGGAGAATCCATGTCGAGCACTGAATCCTCTTGACAAAGAGGGGGAAGGAAAGAGTAGGAGAGAGACTGTATACGCAAGTGTCTGAGCAATCCCATGTCATGTGTGGCGACTGGGAAGACAGACAGGATCAACCCTGATCAGCCAGCTAAGACCCCCTCATCCTCTCTCACACTCTCTCTTCCTTCTCCCCGGAGCCAGCAACTCCGGCAAACCCATGCCCAGCATGCTCCAACCTAGCTAACCACCTACTAGTTAGAGTAAAGTAACTCCTGTAAGCCCCGACCCCAGTTCCAGTCCCAGTCGCAACCCGCCACGACAGTCACGACACATGGCTCTACGTTCGCAATGCAGCTAGCTAGCCCCCCAGCCCAGCCAGCCAAAAACCAAATCCTCCGTCCATCCTTCTGCCTATCTCCTCTACTACTAGTTAACCTGGTAGGTACCTAACCTGCCTGCACATTGCCCTTCCCCTCCCTCCTTTCCTACCAATGGCGATGCACGGACACGTGAATTCGACAAATATTTGACGCTTGGCTGATGCTCATTGGGTATTGGCTTTATGTATGTGGCTTTTTTGGGTATTTCTTGCATTAGGTTGGGGGTGGTGCTTGCTGTGTGTTGGCATTAGTGTCGGTGGGAGTAGTTGCTGGGAGGGAAGTGTAATACTTACTAAGTTGGTAAGTGGTAGGACCATGTTCTATCCTGAGGTAGTAAGTAGTATGTAATGAAAGTATGTGTGGGTTGAACAAACATGAAGTTAACTGTTTGAGTTTAATTAACTTGATATGATGATACTACACTATGATACTTGCTTGGGTTATGAATGATCCATGTTGCTGGTGGGTATATATCTGTCAACAATTATGACCTACCGAGGCTTAATGTAAACCTAATAGTGGCTCCTAGCATCTTATTATCAAGCAGTTATCAGTTTGATTAATGTTTAGCATATTTCTACCCGCAATAACTACCTAGCCTAGTAACTAAGTCCAGTAACAGTGATAGTTAATTTCGTTTCTTCAACTCCCAACAAACAAACATTCGTTCTATCAATCAACCACGCAAACACACATACATACCTACATATATGTATGTATGTATGTAAATAAGTGTCTTCCATGCAACACACAAACATGCACGCACAGTGCAGTAAGCAAAATTATATTAGACGTATATGAATCAGACGACATAAACTTCTTCCAAATGAACCGATACATGCATGCATACTCCGCTTACAACTTCTAAATTTCTCATCGGAAGATATTCTCAACTTCAATACTCTTACTCTAGTGTTTGTTTGAATGCAACACAGTTTGCTTTCTTGACTGCAGTGTCTTAGATATAATCCTGTGCGTCATGAAAAGTGCAGTATGCACTGTAGGATGTGAGGCAGATAGAGAAGTTCGAAGCGAGGATTGTGTTTCCGGATGTAGTTAGTGGCGGGTTCATATATGACTTTGATTGGGATGATGATGATGATGGATAGAGTCATGATGTGTAGTGTGATATATATAATTGCATGTACATTCAATCTACACTGAAGTCATAATGGTAGTATATTTATTCTTATTAGAGTGCTATGGCGGAGTAATATATATATATATATATATATACAGATAAGAAGTGGGTGTATCACCCCCTACCTCAACATTTCGGTTGTAATTCATTTCTAATAAATAATACAAACAATGAAGAATATCAACCCCAAGAAATATAGTTACTAACCCTGCACACATGCAATGCAAGTAAGTTAAGGGATGGGGTGGGATGGGATGGGGGAATATCTACCGACATGCAGATGAATGAAACACGCACATACCACATTTATTATGTACGTATCCCACTTTTTCTTCTTACTCCTACTCTCTACATCACCATTCAAAACTTGATTTCTTCATTATACTTACTATGTTGTAACAATCCATGAAAATTATGATCATGTCTACGACCATCCCACAAACCACATGTACATGTACATGTACATGCACCCTGCACGAAGCACGAAGCACTGAGTTGTCACTTACATACCACATACCACCTACATACATACTACAAATCACACACTCTACAGTAAGTAGTGGTACATACAGTACCAACTCTCCTACATAGAGAATAGAAAAAGTATATGCAAGTAAGAAAAACTCTCAGCAGCCAAGAAAACCACCCATCTACCCCATGTAGAATCGAATCTACAACCCCCTTGCTTCCTTAACAACACTTACTCACAAGCAAGCAAACCTCGTCACTACTCACATGTGAGTAAGCCCAGTTCTTGTCCAATCGGTCTGGGGTTCCCATTATATTCTGTAATAGCATAAGCAAGGAAAGCGAAGTATAAATATGGTAAGTCAGATCAGGTACTCATGCTTTGCATTTAGAGTGTTTGGGCTTGGCGCGGGGGAGAAAGTAACTTAAAATGTTGGATTTGATTGATTGATTGCAAGGTATGTATGTATGGGTTTGAAACCGGATTTAAATCGTGACTGTTGGGTGGGTGGCTTTTTTTTGTTTGTCTTGATTGATTTTCTGATTGACTGAGTGAGTGAGATTGAAATGGTTGGGTTTGGTAGGTGCTTGGATTGTTAGGTGATGTGCATGGTGTTTATTGATGTGCAGATAAATGGACGTGCATGCTGATGTTGATTTGGGTGTGGGTATCGTGTGGAGACAGGTAAGCGAGTACTCTGTCCTAGGTATATATGCTGTGAGATCTGGTATCTGGATGTGTAACATTTGGGCTTGTTTTTAGGCTAAAAGGGTTTGTTTGTGGCGGGTTGGGTGCTACATCACGGCTTACGGTGGAATGTGAAAGATCACCCAGGCTTAGATTCACAGCCTGCTTGCCAGTTGACATGGCTGAATTATAATACATTTTTTTTTTCATCGTCAGTCAGGGTATAGTCAAGTTGGCAACAACACACCAACTTTATGTCAATCATCGGGTACACGACATGCAGCCAATGTCGCAGAGCCACATAGCATCACTCTTTCCCTTCATGCAGCGCCATCAACACAACGGTCCATCGGATGCATGTGTATGTGTTCGTCCTACCAGGCTCGTCCCACAGATCACGGTTGCAATTCATTCGTCCTCATTTGCACAAACTGTGCTCGCCTACAGCTTCGTTCCCAGGTTGACATGGACCGCTTTGACTTGTGAGTAGGCCTCCAGACCGGCCTCGCCAAGTTCGCGCCCAATTCCACTCTGCTTCACACCACCGAAAGGCACCCGGATATCGCTGTCGTTGCTGCTGTTGATCCAGACCATGCCCGCTTCAATCTCCGACGCAACCCGGTGCGCACGCTCAATGTCCTTGGTGAACAGGGCAGCGCCCAGTCCATAGGTCGTATCGTTGGCCCGTCTGACAGCCTCGTCCTCCTCCGAGAAGCTGGAGATCACAACAAACGGTCCGAAAACCTCCTCCCGGTAGATACGCATGTTGTCCTTGACGTCGGTGAAGATAGTGGGCGCAATAAAGAAACCCTTGCCGTCACCGACGTTCTTGAACGGCTCGCCACCGGCCACCAGGGTGGCTCCTTCGGACTTGCCAGCTTCGATATAAGAGAGCACGCGGTCGTACTGGGCCTTGGTGACCTGGGGACCCTGGAAGGTGTCGTCGGCAAAGGGGTCGCCCACCTTGCTGGTGTTGGCCACGGCTTCCTTGAAGAGGGCCACGAACTTGTCATAGACGGACTCGTGCACCAGGATACGAGAGGTGGCGGTGCAAACCTGTCCTTGGTTGTACATGATGCCCGCATGCGCCCACTTGGCGGCCTGGTCGAGATCGGCATCGCTGAAGACAACCAGGGGCGACTTGCCACCTGTCTCGAGCGTAATGTTCTTCAGGGTGCCTGCAGCCAACTTCATGACTTCGCGGCCAGTCAACGTCGAACCAGTGAAGGCAACCTTGTCCACCCCGGGGTGGGTCACGAGCGCACTTCCGGCTACGCGTCCAAAGCCGTTCAAGATGTTGACAACGCCTGGCGGGAAACCGGCCTCCTTGATGAGGTTGGCCAGATAGAGAACACTGAGCGGAGTCTGCTCAGCCGGCTTCAGAACCACGGTGTTTCCACAGGCCAAGGCAGGACCCAACTTCCAGGCAGCCATAGCGAGAGGGAAGTTCCAGGGGATAATCTGGCCTACGACACCAATTGGCTGAAGGAGAGTATAGGCAAACTTAGCCGGAGTGGTGCTAATCGTCTGACCATGGACCTTGTCGGCGTATCCAGCATAGTACCGGAGACAGCCGACAACCTCTCCCAGGTCATCGTTCAGCGAAACGGAGTATGGCTTTCCTAAGGGGAGTCAGTATATGATGACAGTCTTTTGGGAACAATGTGAAGCTCTTTACCATTGTCCCACGTCTCAATAGTGGCCAGCGTCTCCTTGTGCTGCTCGACCAGGTCGGCCAGCTTCAGCATCAAGGTGCCCCGTTCAGTCGGAGGCAACAACTTCCATGAGGGGTGGTTGAGGGCTTTCCGGGCAGCCTTCACAGCAATATCCACATCTTCTTCACCCGCAGCATAGACAGAAGTGATTTCCGCTTCATTGCTAGTATTGGTCAGCAGCAGTCCATGACATATACTCGGAGGGGATACACATACGAAGGGTTGATAGTAGCGAACTTCTCCCCGGACTTGGAAGCGACAAACTCGTTGTTGATGAACAGACCAACCGGCTGAGCGTATGTACGCCCATTCGGGGCTGTCAATTGTACGGACAGATCGCTCATGGTGATGGAAGAGCTATGGAAGTGATGGCGATGAGGGGAGAAGGCAACGACTGGCAGACGAGAAGAAGGGACACCACGCAGCCGCAGAGAGGAGAAGGAAAGACAGCGAAAGGGAGCGGGGAAAGAGGAGAAGGGCATCGAGGGGGAGATTTTATGTATGGACGAAGCTGAAAGGAGAGAGAGGGTTGAGGGTGATTAATGATTAGTGGTTGAAGGGAAGCCGGATGAAGCATCCCCGCCAGCGAAGGATGGAAGAGCGAATGGGAGAGGCGGCGGTGCCTCGGGCAGCCCCTCTTCGCATACACTTACTCTTCTCGATGCCATCCTTTCGCCGGTGTCCCAATCTCTGGGTCAGCATCTCCACCGGCGCAATAAACTAATCATCTCAGCTTGATAAGCTTGATTCTGCAGCTCCTCCGCACTTCTTTCCCCCATCCAGCTGGACCACCTGCTCTCCCCTCCTCGTGTGCATGCAGCTTGCGTCTTCTCCATCTCCAATCATGATTCTTCCGGGTCTTCCATTATGATCGCTTTCTCCAAGACCTCGCCACAACCCGTCGCTTCTCCGATTACTCCATAATTGATTGCATTCTTCGCTAATCCTCGGAAGCTTTTGGAGGGTTTTCTGCCGCCACCTTTGATAGATTTTCGATCTGTCGCAGAACAGAGATTCGTCAAGAATCACAAACTTATTATCGTCTCAACGTCAGCCACCCATGTTCTTTACTGGTCTAGAAGGTATCGGCCCATCTCCCTGGGGGATCTGCTAGTCTACAAGGCCTATAACGCGTCAACTAGTGGCAACATAAATAGAAAGCATCGCCAGTCAGGGCCATGCAGCCATCCGTACAAGCTGCCGGGTATAACCCGCCTGCTACGTGAATCAACCGCACCATCAGCTGCACCGAAAGAAAGAAATCCCTTGATTGTACATAAAGTAAATGCGCGTGTCGAATTCCCACAAGAGTAAGTTGATCATCCCAAAAGCCCGACAACAAAATGAAATCCCTTTATCCTTTACTCGCTTGATTCAGGCTCCTCGCCTTCGGCGCTGTCATCTTTCGAAGCTTCGGCGTTTGTCTTGGCCTCGTTTTCCTCCGCTACCCCCATGATAAACGCCCATTCTGTGACGCTTACTGGTGTCACACTCAGCCGGGACTGCTTCAGCACCTGCATGTTTTCAAGAGCCCGTACGGACTGTGCATATGATTTGAGATCGTTCAACGTAATCATTTTGTTGAACTTGCGCCGGAACTCTACGTGGACCACCTGCCACTTGGGATCGTCTCGGTTCGACTTCTCGTCGTAGTATGGGTGGGCGGGATCGAAGGCCGACTCTGAATGCGAACGCCGTATTAGCTGATCCTGTCTTGTCCAGTAAGGGCTAATGCGTCAAGACTAACCATCCGGTGAATGCTCCTTGACAATCTCCATGATACCCGCAATCCCTGGCACCTTGCAGTTGGAGTGGTAGAAGAAGGCGAGATCACCCTTCTTCATGTCGCGGATGTGTTTTTGTGCTGTTTTGCTTGTGAGCCAGAAGGCTAGCTTGCTACTGCCAATGGCCTCACTTACCAACGGGGTTACGCACACCTACTGGGTGATCAGCAGACAAATTAATCATTCAAGGCCCTATGATGGAAACGTACCGTCCCATGGCTCCGGCTCCTTACGGGCAGCCAAGTCATCAATGGAGAATTTTACATCAACACCTTTCTCCAGTCGCGAATCCGGCTCGGCCTTCATCAACCAGTATGAGCGCCCTTCGAAGGGTGTGGTATCGACCGTCTCTGTTTTCGTTGTTGATGGGGTAGGTTCGGTTCCATTTTCGACTGGGGTCTTCCTTGGCCTGCCCCGTTTGCCTTGCTTGGGGGTTGTAGACTTTGAGGGAGTAGCTAGTGTATGTCAGCAATTTCCGTAGAAAAAATCATACCGAACGCATCATCTATGGAAGAATGGAATGACAAGAGGAACGGTATGGGGTTTGTCCGTAAAAGCATCAGAGATATGGGACGCAAGGAGGGAACTGACGGGCATTCGGATCTTTACGAGGACGGCCACGGCCTCTTTTGGGGCCGTCAGGGCGCTTGGGAGTACTACCCTCAGGATACTTCCTGGGACGGCCCCTCTTTCTCTTTTCGCCGGTAGCCGGTGTGTCGGGCGCGGCCTATGTGAAAAACGAAGAATGATTAGTTTTGTCTGAACGTGAAACTTTGGAAAACATAATCGTTTGTTCGTGCATTTTGGATGTAACATCGACGCTTCCAATCATTGGGGAAGGGGAGCGAATGACGCCGTGATTAGCCAGTGGGCGGCGATCGTGTATTGGACGGGCCGACTGGTCTGGTAGAAGGGCGCGCTACCTCGTGGGTAGTATTAATGAACTTGTAGATAGGCAAAGGCTTACCACTCTCTTCGCAGCAGGGGACTCGGCTTCCTCGGCGATTGACGCGCTCTCCGACTTGCGTTTCCTTTGGGGTGCCATGTTTGGTTGGTAGGTTGATGGGGGGGGGATGTTTATCTGTGCGATAAGATCCACGGGAGTTTTGGGGGGGGGGGAGGCAAGAGAGAGACGGAACAAAGATCGAATGGACGGTCAGAAAAGGACAAGAGCAGATGAAGACAACAAAGAAATCAGCCAGTCAGGAGCCAGCCAGCGGGGAAGCGCTGGGGGACTTGGGACACGAGGATCCAGACGCGCCTAGAAGTGTGAAAGCCAGCCAGTCAGTCAATCCAGTATAGGAAAGCTTATGAAGGAACCGATGCGGAAATGGGTGTTTGCAAAGGTTAGCAACGGAGACTAACCAAGGTACGGACCAGCTGTCTGTTCCGACAGTCGAAGGGAACGATTAGACACGACAGGACGCGGTTCTAGGCACGCACTGGGCAAGAATCATAACAGGACCGCGATGGGTGAAGCTCTGGTTGCGGACGAGTGGACGGGTCGAGCTTCTCGGGACGCGCGGTGGAGCCCCCTTAGGCGCTCCGCTGGGGTCACGTGGCTGTGCTCGCGGAGATTCAGGTACCCTCACCGAGCAAAACTATAACTGATGATTATTAACTCCGTAGGCGCAGGAACAGGCAGGAGAATAAAACTGCACGCAGCATATACCCCTGTCATAGTTTGATGGAATTGTGCTACCCTGCCAGTTGGAACGATGCACCCGACTACAGGCAAGCTCGTGCCGTCAATACCAAATCACTGTATGGTGTAGGCCACTCATGACCATGATTTTGCTTAACTTTCAATCTGTACTACCAGCTACACCACCAACTATTTGGCACTATCTCAATAATGATTCGCTAGTGCCCAAATATACAGCCCCCGCTAGGCTGAAGGCATTTTATATGCCCTTTTAACGCCATGATTGGCCAGAAATCTCGGAGACTCCCACAATCAGGAGTCAGGATACCTTGACTCTCTAGTAGTATTCTGTCAATTTGATAAGTTGGTCAACAGATAGGTTCAAAGAGATTTCAATTTCCAAGTTGATGGATTCTCTCATAGTGTACTCCATCCACTCTATACCTCTAATCTCTCGGTTTTGCAAAAACCAGGAGCAGGAACCTGTCTTATGTTGCTTCGATCGGAAGGCGGGAAGTATATCCCATGTTGCGAAGATAATGTCCGGTTTGTAGTGACTCAAAGAGAAACTTTCTCCCCGTCATCGGACACCCTCACCTTCTCAAAAGGGGGGTTGGCGTGAACTGTCCTGCAAGCTCCAGAAGTGATTTCAATGCGGAGAGTACACTTTGAGGAAACTTAGCGTCGCGCAAAGCTACCATTCGGCCAGATATCGCTGCTCGATCTCTTTGAAGAACATATCAGGATCAAAAGGTCATATGTGGGTGGAGAGCCATTGGCATGTTTTGAGAGAGGTGAATTATTTGCCAGACTTGCGCGATATGTTGACCGTTATATGCAGATTGTAGGCGGATTGGTACCCGACCAGGAAAAAATGATGACTTTGCTCGAAGGAGAAAACTGATGGTATTCGGTAGGAAATTGCGCCATTGTCACTGATTCAGCCCTGCAGATTTGGTCGCAAATGCCTCCGAACGGATACTTAGTGTACACAGTGAGCATGCCATCCCGGCAATGACTGTAGGGAAGGCCCTCCACACCCAAGCCATGAGAAGTCTTTCTCTTGTTGGAATAAAAATTCAAGTATCAGATAAGTCACTTGCAATTCCATACTCCGTGATAGCGTTTAACGACTGAGTCATGGCAATGTTTTCCTTTCTAGCTTCGGGGTCAGTATAAGTTTGGCACCTGGGTTTCCGTCGCCAAAACTTCGCACAGGGGTGAGTGCTGGTAGTTCGATCTTGGTAAGCTCCCAAATAAACTGCTCCGGGTGATTCTAGTGATTATGTATGCGGCGCTATGGGCAAAACTCTTTTCTGCAAATGCTTCTCATGATGGCGCCCTTGGCTCGGGCATCACTTACTGTAATGGTAGTGTGTAGGCTGTAGTTGATCAAGTAGTCGCCAGGAGGATGGGTAAGACGACACGCACAATTGCGCCATCATTCAACACCACCATTGGCCCCAAGCGAACACTATTGTCGGCCGAGCCACTTTCTTGCAAGGTAGTCGGCCGACAGCTCTCGGGTGAGAAGAGGGTTGTAACGCTAGAAAGCGGCAGAGACGAACAAACAGAGTTGGGCACGCAGCAGCCAGTGTGTGGTAGTAGTCATAACATTGATTTGGACGATGATAGAGATAGTAAGTAGTATTAGCAGAAACTATCTATAGAAGAAGATTAGAAGAGGAGGATGAACAAGAGGATTGGCCTCGCACGGTTCCTCCCCTCCTCCTATAGTTTGGGAACAATGCCGGGACTAGAGGACGGTACATGAGTTAAGGTCGATGGTTCGTGCCTTGGGGAGTCCAATCTCGCCATGGGATTCTGGTTGAATCTCCCCAAAAACATCCCGGACGGGGGAGGGGCATTTCCCAATGCGGATGACGCTAAACATCCCACCTGGAATGAGCTCATGTGGGTCCAATCAGAGCTGTTCTGCCCCCTGGGCGGTGGCAGATTGCGTGATCAAGATCGCCCTCCCAGCGGCTGTCATTCGTTGGAGGGGCATCAAGCTGTGGTTCTGGTTCAATGTGGATGGTGTCCCCCCTCTGCCTCGTAGCTCCATCCCCGTTCCATTCACGGGCTCCTCGTCTCCTGGTTCCCCGACCTCGGGCCTCATCGGGGGTATATTTAGAACTCCCAACTTCCTCCGTTGCATTCATCTTCTCCTGCTTCCTACTCATCTTTCTTTCCCTACCTATCTAATCAAAAAGTTCATACCCACCCCTCTACACCTCCCCTCACTTTCACAATGGCCCAGGAACGTGCTCCGTAAGTGCTATCCAACACGATGTGACTGTATCCCCTCACTCGGGCCAATTCTGACATGCCACTTTCTCACAGTCTCCGTCTCGGCTCCGTTGCCCCCAACTTCGAAGCCGACTCCTCCAACGGCCCTATCTCTTTCCACGACTTCATTGGCGACAGCTGGGCTATCCTGTTCTCCCACCCCGTTAGTTCTCTCCCTGCACCGTTGTGGATACCATGATGAAGCAAAGATACAGCTGAGCTAACAATTCTGCAATTGGCATAGGATGACTTCACTCCCATTTGCACCACTGAGCTTGGTGCTTTCGCCAAGCTCGAGCCTGAGTTCACTGCTCGTGGCGTCAAGCTCATCGGTCTGAGCGCCAACGGCACCGAGTCCCACCACGCCTGGATCAAGGATATCGATGAGGTCAACGGCTCGAACCTCAAGTTCCCCATCATCTCCGACCCCGAGCGCAAGGTTGCCTACCTGTACGACATGGTCGACTACCAGGACACCACCAACGTTGACGCCAAGGGTGAGCCATTCATAGTCCTAGAGTGACGCCGTGAGGACGCTGCTAACATATTCCAGGCATGGCTCTCACCATCCGTTCCGTCTTCATCATCGACCCCAGCAAGAAGATCCGTCTGATCATGTCCTACCCCGCCTCCACTGGTCGTAACACCGCTGAGGTCCTCCGTGTTGTCGACGCTCTGCAGACCACTGACAAGCACGGTGTCACCTGCCCCATCAACTGGCTCCCTGGTGACGACGTTGTCATCCCCCCTCCCGTCTCCACTGAGGACGCTCAGAAGAAGTTCGGTGACATCCGCATTGTCAAGCCGTAAGTTGTCCAATACACTCGCTTAAAGAGATGTTACGGTCGCTAACGCGATGGACTAGTTACCTTCGCTTCACCTCCCTCAAGAAGGAGTAAATTAAGGCAGATTATGACAATGTCCCGCCGATTCTCGTCAACTCAATCTCATACAGATGGGTGGCGTACCGATCATGATAACTAAAACATGTTGTGACGGGGTTGGTAGAGGGAACGCGGTATGAAAGTTATGGCTATGATGTGTAATAGTTTGATACCTCATGACAAACAAATCGATTAACGATCTCCAAATTATATCCCCAAGACGGGCAGGGTTCGCCTTGGCTAATAAATAACTGTATCGCATAAAGCTCCTGCATGTTGGGGACCTCCACGCAGGAACCGTGTCCGCGGTGCTTTGGTTCCTGCATGGCGCACCTTAGAGGATCCTTTCGCTGTCCACACACGGCGACTGGTAGCATGATCAACAGTAGTCTGGCCCCGTTCGAGTGGCGATATGGAGCTGAAGTCCCGTCCTGCATGATGATCCTGGTCGCGAACGGCTGAAAGGCCAGCAGAAGGGCAGAATGCGTTGCCGGTGCCGTGCCTCGAATAAAAGCCCGTAAACACCCCGAGAATGCATAAAAGGGAAAATATACTGCTAAATAGGATGTGAGCATACAAGGAGCAAATATGAGTTATCTGACTGTGTACGATGATCAATCATCCGACAGTCGCTGAGCCTCATAACATTTTTGGTTCATACACAATGGCATGCAGGTTTCGGACTGTCAGATTTTCGTGCTTACCCCTCTTCCTCCCAACCCACTGACTAGTTGTTTTACCAATTTTTCTGGTCAATGTTCACACTGTCATGGGGCCGAGGCTCTGGATCGATCACAGGGACCGTAAACCTGTACTTCAAAAGAAGGTGCGTCGTGGTGTCCTTAGTCGTCGATAGCTTTTGCCTGCCAAACACAGGATATTCAACTCCGAGAATCAAAGCTGTATGCCTGATATTCGACTACCTGGCCAGAAGAGTGCGACGAGTATTTGAATACTGGCGGTGCTATCGTGACGGACCCCCAAGTGTGCTATAAATAACAATTTAAACTGGTGAGAGGAACCTTCCCGTTCTGGTTTGACATCATGGTTCTTTCCTCAAAAGGTGCTGATACCTCAACTCTGAAACAGGTTCGCCCCCCCTCCTTCCCTTACACTTTGAGTTTGACCTGTCAGAGGAATTGACTTTCCCAGGGTTGGGTTGCATATTCTGCAAACCCTCTCCCCTTTAGACACCTTTCTCCACTGTGATCTGACCCAGTAGTGCCTGGACCGTTTAACGGGTAACCGCCAACCAACTAGTGACAAGGTAGCGAGACCGCCTTGAACCCGCACTTCACTTCCACCAACCCCCGTCTTTCTTCTTTCCCTCAATCGTGTTTCCTCGATCGGGCTTCTTCAGTGACGTGATCGGTGGTTCATCCCTTGCAGCAATTCCATCCTTCGGTCAAGAGCCTCTTGGTCCCACCTCCTTGCCTATTCCCCTCGTCCAGGTTGCGGCAGCGGCGGGGAAAGCCAGCGAGTGCCTCTGACGGATTTCGCCTTTTCCGCCCGCCCCCTGATCTGGTCGCACTACCCCGGTCCGATTTAGACCTCGAAGATCGCCCCAAACCCTTTCGTTTCGCTCTCATATCGTGCCCGTGCGGCTTCACTTGTCCAAATCCGTGCCTAGTCGTGATATCTGGGTGTGATGATACTCTGTCGAATCGAGATCCCTCTAGCGCCATACCAGAGATAAGTCATTTGAGGGTTGGAAACTGTCGTGATTTTGGAAAGACACCTCTTTGGATTTTTTGGATACCCGGACACAGTTGGTTTTATGAGAGCTCGCTTGGGCGCACGATTGGAAGGACGATAGTTGGTTTCTGTGGAATTGTTTAGGTGGAGGATTCATATACCGCCAAGATGATGTCCAGAAGCCAGTCGAGCTTGGGCTTCATGGACGCGGGGAGGGATGATTCCTCTGCGTCAGGCGCTCAACCTGGACATCAAGCGCCACCGTCCAACTCGGGTCCCATCAACCTGTCAGGTTTGGTGTGCAATGTGCGCCGAACAACTGGCAGGGAACCGCATCCGTTGGTCGGGGCCACCACGACTATCCTGGGCGATAAGCTTTACGTGTTCGGTGGTCGTGTCCTATCTAAAAGTCGCCCGCAATTGACGTCGGACATATACGAGCTGGACTTGATCCGGCGTCACTGGACGAAGATTGAGACCACCGGCGACATCCCCCGTCCGCGGTACTTCCACAGTGTCTGCGCTCTGGGTGATCATAAGTTGGTGTGCTATGGCGGCATGTCGCCTGCACTGAACGTGTCAAAGGAGCCCGCCAGTAATGGCTCAGGTGGACAGGAAGCACAGCCAGAAGTGGTGGTCATGTCTGATATTCACATTTTCGATGTACCATCTCGGACGTGGACCCGTGTTCCTGCCACAGACTCGCCTCAGGGACGTTATGCACACTGCGCGACCATTTTGCCTTCAAGTGCCCATTTCACCTCCGCCACTGCTCCACTTTCGGCAATTCACCACAACCCCGCGTCGTCAAATCCGCACCAGGGATCGATCGGGGTGGATATCGACGGATTTGGAGGGGCGGAAATGGTGGTTGTAGGAGGGCAAGATAGCTCCAACCACTATATCGAACAGATTAGCGTGTTTAACCTACGTAGCCTGAAGTGGACCAGTACCACTCACCTGGGGCGAAGCTGCGGTGCCTATCGGAGTGTGGTTGCTCCCTTGGTAGGCATGAATGTTTCCGACATCGGGTCTGCCGCAGACGATGGTGAGGCGCAGGAGCCGTTAGACGATTCGCAGGTCGAGGGCTGTCCGATGTTGGTCTATTCTAACTACAACTTCCTGGATGTGAAGCTGGAGCTTCAGGTGCGCCTCCCCGATGGTCGCCTGATCGAGAAGCCCATGCAGAGCCAGGCGTCGCCTCCTGGCTTGAGGTTCCCCAACGGAGGAGTCATCAACGGTCATTTCGTCGTGAGCGGAACCTACCTGACTTCGTCGAAGCAAGAATACGCGCTCTGGGCCCTCGACCTGAGAACCCTCACCTGGGGTCGCATTGATGCCGGCGGCTCTGTGTTCGGACATGGCAGCTGGAACCGTGGAATTCTGTGGCCGAGAAGGAATACCTTTGTTATTCTGGGTCACCGGAAGCGCAGCTTGGTCGAGGACTACAACCATCGTCGCATCAACTTCTCCCACGTGTGTATGGTCGAGCTTGAAGCGTTTGGGCTCTACAACAATGCGTGCCGGACCACGCCCACATCGGGATACATCTCATACAGCGCCCCGGCAGTCCCTGCATCAATGCAGCACAAATTAACCAAATTAACCTCGGGCGGACGGCCGTTTACCTCCGCGTCCGACGAACTAGGCAGACTCGCCCAGTCTCTGCCTGAAATGGCCGATATGGAACTACAGGCGGTTGGAGGCGAGCGCATCCCCGTGAACTCACGCATCCTGACTCGCAGATGGGGCCCTTACTTTATCCAGCTTCTTCGCGAGTCCTGTGATAGCGGGATTGCCGAGACTGCCACATTACGTCCAGCCGTTGCCATGTATCCCAGTCGCAACTCGAGCATCACGATCACCCCGTCGCTGGGGCAAAACAGCAATTATTCCAATTCCAGCACCCTTGTCAGCAACCGCTCAGTCACCTCAAAGTCCTTGTTAGCGAACCTTGAGATACCCTCTGCGCATAGCCTTTCCCCTACCTCTCGTCCTCGTGTGCTTTACCTCCCCCATACCGTCCTCACTCTTCAAGTCCTCGTCTACTATTTCTACACCTCGTCTCTCCCCCCCGCCGGCTCTCCCCTCTGTACTCCGCAAATCCTCTGCTCCCTCCTCCAACTCGCCCGCCCCTACCAAGTCGACGGCCTCCTCGAAGCCACCGTCGAGCGCCTCCACCAAGTTCTCGACGGAAGAAACGCCGCTGCCGTCTTCAACGCCGCCGCAATGGCCGCCGGCGGTGGCCGAGGCACCGGCTTCACAAGTGGCCCCGGCGGCACCCTGGAAGCGCTGAACGGCGCCCACGCCGGCAACGAATCCTCCTCCGGTACCGGAACCACCACCTCCCAGAGCCACCTCACCTCCGATTCCTCCGACACCGAACACGGCACCTCCGCCCTCTCCGTGGCCAGCAGCGCCAGCGGCGTGATGGGCTCACGCGGCATCCCCCTTCGCATCAACACCAACATCTTCAGCCGCCGGCACCGCAGCAACGCCGGCGTAGACCGCGACCGCGAAGACTCCATGAGCAACGCCAGTATTTCCACCTCCGCCTCCACCAACACCAGCTTCGACCACTCCGACTCCGAAATGGGCGGCGACCCCACCCGTCCGTCCCACCACCGCCGCAACACGGACGCAGAACTCCGTCCCGAACGCGAGATCTGGACCGGCGACCTCAGCAGCGTCATCGGTCTTCAGAAGCGCGGTCTCCGCGGTCTCATGGAAGGTCGTCGCCTCCGGGAACGCAACACCAAACCTGCTGGCGCAGCGGATCATGTTGCAACTGCTGCTGCTGCTCCACCGCCTGGTGCGTAGATATCTCAAAGCCACATACATACATTCATGTACAGTTTCAGTCGCGGGTAGGGGAAGGAACAGGAAGGAGAAAGAGGGGAAGAGGGAAAGGGAGAATAATGATGAACGATGAACGATGATGTGTTATATTGCATTGATCATTGGGATCCTCTGTCATTTCTATTCATCTTGTCTATCTATCTAGTCACACTTACTACAACCACATACTACCATTTTTACTGCAGGAAGGGGAGACAAGGTGGTTGATGATTTGTCTTTCCACTTATCTATCTATTTATCTATCATCTACTCAATACATAGATTTCTTTTCTCTTCCTTTGATTCAACTCTATCTTTGAGCCCATCAATCCTTTCTTGGTTTACCTCCCGTTAATTGATAATTCCCCCGTGTCTTTCTAACATTCCATTTATTCTATCTTCGCATAACTCTTGACTAGTGTTTTGAATGCTTACTCATGTGTATTTGTGGGTTGTAAGTGTTCGTTTTCATGCTTACTATTCTTTTTGATCAGGTGGTATCATTACGGATACAACGCTACCATAATACTCTGTACTAAGGTCTTCTGCTCACTCAGACTCTTGTGGTTAACTAGTATACGAGCGAGCGCGGCATACATACTTGCTTCGGAACCGGATTTACGGCTAAAAATGCGACTAACTTTCCATATCGCTTCAGAGAAACCAACTGAACTTAACATATGCAAAATGAACAAATTCGTAACGACATGACATTAAACCCTTCTGTGGACATTACTTCGTTGACTGGACAAAACCCATGCTTCCCACAGTAACCTCTGGTCGTGGCTTACGCTCTCTCCATTGTCTCCTAATACGTCGGACGTGTGTCCGCGCAGTTGTTCAAGCGTGGCATCGGAAAAGGAGCGGCGGGTTTTTCCTGGTGGGCTACTGTTTGAGTAGTCCATGTTGAGGAAGGCCTTGTGCGGGGCCATGTCGGGCGTGGGTTGTACGACGATGGCAAGTGTCGGCGTTTGAGAACTGCCGGCACCGGGTCCGGCAGCGTCAGCGTGGTGGTGGGCATTGGCGTTGGCGTCGAAATGGCTGGTGTAGTCAATTCCACGCAGGTCTATGCGTTCAAGAAGGTCCATTTCGTCATGTAAGACGCTAAGAACGTCGCGCCATCGTCCACCAGGGCGGAGATAGACGTTGGCTAGTCGGACGTTGCGAAGCTGGCGCCTGTGTCGACGGATGAAGGCGATGATTTCTTCCGAGCCGAGGCGCCAGCCTTGGATACTGAGGGTCCGGAGTCTCTTCCACTGGACGTGGTGGAAAATTTGCTCTAACGCGAGGTCCAGTGGCGCATTGGTAGGGAAGCCTAAATGAATGGTTGTGAGATTTTTGGCAGCTAGAAAGAAGTCATGGAAGACGTTGGACAGCGTCTCCATGTATGTGGATAGCTTGGCTGCGGAGTGGAAAGTAACATCCAAGCTCGCCAGTCGTGCGCCCAGTGCGGAAAGGCTGGTGGATGGAGCTTGCAGCAATCTCACGGTTGCTTCCGGGCTGATCTGCGGCCCGACAAATCTCACTGAGTTACAGTTGGACTCTAGTAACGAGATGCTCAGGCTGGTGACAGCTCTGGTGCAGGCGGGTTCCCAGTCCAGACGCGTTGTTCTTCCCAACGAGCGCTCGCGTATGTGGTCTAGCAATTGTTCGTCTGCTCCATCTTGCAACCGGAGGAGTTTGACTTGTTGTAGGGAAGAAAAAGCTGCTATCGCCCGTCGCAATAAACGGAGATCAAGGTTTGAATCGAGTATGTATTTTTGATCATCGAGCCGACGCCGGTGGATGGATGAAACGGGAAGGTTATCTACATCGACCCCATCCAGGATGTGGGACCAACCTATATGATCATCAGCTTCATGCGCGCAACATCCCGGGCGGGTCTGCAGAGACGGTACCGCTTCCTTGGTAGAAGGGTCGCACCATGTACGTGAAATATCTGACATGACAGGCTAGCTGCATGTTCAGAAGGTCCTCCAACCTTCGGAATTCGTCGGATGAAAATCTGAGTACAAAACTGGTGAATTTCCGGGGTGTACCGATGCGCTTGAATCTTCTGCAGACGAGTCTGAATCGATCCAACTCGGACTTTTCACCGAAGGCATGAGCCGTGCCATTGTCGGAGTCGCGAGACGAGCCTTGCGGAGTTGTCGGGGAGGGCTCGGGAGATAGATTGTCTGAACCCAAAAGGTACGAAAGTATATCACTGATCAACTCGTCTGCCAAGTCTTCAATGTTTCGAGGTCTCTCCATGGTTTTCGCACAGCGAAGCAGCCGCGTGGTCGGCTGCTATGGTCACTCGCACCAACATGGAAACCAGCCCAGGTACGAGAGGGGTATGGCAAACAACGATGCGCCAGGTCGGAGGTTCAGGAAGAAAGAGAAGAGCAGGAAGGGACTGACCCTGATTATATGGACAGGGAATCGACGAGAGAATAAGCAAAGAGTGACAGCAGACAGCCGGGAGGTTTTTAAAGGATCATGACCACAAAAAAATAAAATGAGGCGCAAAAAGTTCGAAAAAGAAAAAAAAGGAGAGCAGAAAAAGAAATTAAGAGTTGGAGAAAGGAAGGACGAAAGTGATACATCCCCTCTCACACTCCCAGCACATTCTCTATCGACTGCAGAGTAGACGGCGGGCCACAGGTAGAGCGCTTGCAGCAAGTGAACCTGTCTGACAAGATTTAGAGCGTCCCACCGCGACAATCCCTAATCCCGTCATTCGAGTCGACTGGGGGGGTTTCACCTCCGGGTATCTCGCCAGGACCATCAGAAGACGCCCCAGTTTGATCAGACGACAGGATATTGGCTGAGAGAGCTGGCACACAGGGGTCACATGATCGAAACAGTATGCGGATATCCAGCGCGAACCTGCAGGAGGGAATCTAGTAGGAAACAAAAGTGACGGAGAGGATTGGTAGGGAAGGACGACGACAGCTGGCTGGACCGGGGATAAGGGAAGGAGGAGGGAGGGAGGGAGGGAGGGGAGTGGGTAAGAGGGAAAATGATGCGACATGAGAGTCTGTTACGTGCAGACGCCCACCAGAGTTGCAGCAAAAGGAACCCCGCCTGGAAAGAACGCGAATCAATGGCGGCCTGTCGTTCCCAAGCCTAGATCGTCCCTGCTTGCGACTGGCGAGTTGCGCACGGCATTTATTCCCTCCTTCTGCCCCATCTCCGTGAGCCTAGCGCATTGGAGCTGCTCCATCAAACCGGGGGGTGCTAGCAGCAGGACTAGTACTTAGCAGCACGGTATCGAGATTGCAGAACTGGATCGGAATCGCCAACAATGGCATTGCGTTGGTCCGGACTGGAAAGCCTCGCGTGGGGATGTTGTGAGGGAAAGGATCATCAGCCCCTAAAACACTCTGGGCCAGTAGCCCCCGAGTCCAGGGCGCAATCCCAAACGCCGGGGAGATAAGATGGTTGGTGGTCTGTTCTCTCTTCTCTCTTTTTCCTCTCTGCACAAAGAAAACAACTCATTCTGAACCCTTCTCAGGGGTAATTTGTGTTTAGCAAATCAAACAAAGAGAATGATAATTCCAAGAAAACAGGCCATTCAAAAACCTCCCCGGAAATTAGAAAGGAGCAAAAATATAATTGAATGGCGGTTGAAGAAAGAACGGAAGAAAAAGAAGTAGTAGGAGTCCACCACCACATATTAGTGCGGAGACCGTCTATTTTTACAAACCCCATTTAAAAATATTTGAAGCTCACTCCTTGTTGCGTCACTTCATCAAGAAGCACCATCGCAACTCACAAAAAAAACAATATGATTTAACCCATGACTCGCTTTGTTGTTCCTGGCTGCTGGTGATGCCGGCAATGTATGTACAGGATCGCATCGTGCCCAATCATCCCCATATCTGCACGCCTGCCCTCTGCCGTTTCAGGACAGCTGTCAATGTCTAAATTCTCGAGCTTGACGACTGGTTCGCATAGCTGCCCGCACGCTTTGCCAGTTCACTGCGCTAATTTATTCCGTGGCCATCTCCATCCGACGCCGTCTGATATCAGTGCTGCTTATCTTGGACGCGAAACTCTCGGCATCATCGGTGGGGACTTCGCCTGTATGTAGTACGTCGACTTCAAACACCTCCAGGCTCTCCCAGCCTTTCTTTGCACGCTCCTCGTTGACCGCGCCCCCACCTGCACGAGTCTCTTTGGAGACGACAAGAGCACTAATCTCTTCGTCGGTGATGGTAGGGCCAAAAGGATCCGTGATCTGTACCAGCTTGAAGACTAGATCCGGCCGCATTTGTATCTGAATGTACTTGTCATTGGGTCCAGACCCAGACTCTCGTTCAATGCGCGGCGCACTGGTTTCCGGGATACGGAAATCCATGATGGCTGAAAGGAATGACCCGGTACTCATGCATCGCTCATCCCAGCTCTCCAGAAATTCGGCATACTTTTTCTTCGCCAGCAAACCTTCTCCTGTCACCCCGACGGTAATCTTCCGGACTTTGCCTGCCTCCACATCCTCGGCAGGCTGCAATACCAACGCCGTAGCCGTGAGCAAGAGCTTGTGCCCGATGTGAAAATGGTCGAAAGTGCCTCCTACAGCCACAGAGTAATGCGTGGTTGATATGTGGTTATCATCCATCACCAGAAGAGATTCTGCAGCCTTCCAATTGGGTGCATCTGGGATTGCGCTCATAGATCCGCCGTTGGGGTCCTTAGACTCAGAATAGAAGCTACTGAAGGCCGTTGCTAGACCCTGACCTACTTGGTTATCCGGGTAGTATATAAAATCCCACAGTCGCCCAGACCGCGCCAACGTCTGCAAGTCAATAATAGGACCATCGCACGGATTGTCCCTGGGAACGGCAGTCTGGACTGAATCGTAATCGAGTAAGATCACACGGGCGTCAATACCGCCAGGACCGTCGAGCTCAATGCCTTGCTCAACACACACAATCCCAATAAGCCTATAGATGCTTTCCAGAAAAGACTGGAGGCTTGAAAATGCCCTAGTGCGCGGCCGATATGAGGGGGATAGAAGGCCTGGAAGGGAGAGCGCAATATCTAGTATGGCCGCGTGATTGGCTCCATTAAGCTCCCGGACAAGCTTGGTGCAGACACCCAACAGAATGGGCTCGTATGCAGCCTTGAACTGGTCGAACGATGCCGAAGGGGGTGGCGGCAGCAGAAGCAGGGCCGAGAGTTGATCTGAAGCCATATTGCGGGGAGGAGAGACGGGAGCTCACGGGTGGAGCTTAGTAGAGAAAGAACACTGCAAGGGTAGAGTTTCAAGGCGATAACGATAGAGTCGAAGAGTTATACAGCGCACGATATGCCCTTTAATGCGGAATGTAAGTGTAGAATCCCACCTAGTAATCCGGTGCCAAATATCTTCGTTTTGCAACGCAAGACAAGATCGCTTCATCAACCCCAACCAACGATGATGATGAAGATGGAAGGAGAAGCGCAGGAATTCCCCGCGATCTGGGTGGCTGAGTCAGCGGCACGAGACTCCCCACGGCGGCGCTTTGCTGCCTCATCGCTCCTCCCTTCGACTCTCTCCGTTTCTGCAGGCATTCCTTCCCCTCGTTCGAGCTCGAGGATGTCTCTCTGACTCCTTCATCATCTTTCCCCCGTGATATGATCCAGATCGAGCACATTCCTGGTGCAGTCGGAGCTCCTAGCGCCAATCCCCTCTCCTCCGGATAGTCCTCGTACCCTCGTTATCGCCCTACGTCTTCGACTCCCGAACTCAATCCGAGAATCTCATTGAGCTCCAACTGCTGTGCGGTGGGCTGCGCCTTTCATTCTTGAGATCTCGGGTTATTCGGCCATCGCTGTCATGTCGAATCCCACACAGCCTTACGACGCTCGGCGGGCGACAAGCTACGGTCGACCTGAGGAGCTCCATATTCCATCGACGGGCCCCAATCTGCAACGACAATCGATGTCTCACGAATACCCCGCCGGTCAAGACAACCATGTCCCTTCCATCAATGTCCACCCATTGGGGTCGCAACCGGGTCAGTATGGTGGTGGTGGAAGCAGCGGCGCGAGCGGAGTACTCCCGGGGGCGCTTCAGCCGGGTAACGTCAACCGTCCACCTGCAGTATCAGTCAACACTGCACCTTCGGCGCTACCAACGCTACCTGAATTGAATACACCAATGCAGCCAACATCACAATCAGGACAACAGCCCCCGTCGGCGCAACAACAACAACAACAACCGCCCCAGCAGCAGCAGCCAAATGCCCGCGCCAGTATGGTCAACTCTCATGGGCATTCTAGATCCAGCCCAGCGGGGTTTGAGCAGCCAAAATACAGACAGCCAGGCTCTTCTCCTGGCTCTGCATACCCTCCTCATACTCCTCAGGGAACAAAATACTCACCGTTGGGTCTAGCCGACATCCGACCGACGGGGGACCTTCTAGGTGACCCAATCACCAGCTCCGGTATGGCGCCGTTCAACGGGGATAATCCAGTACCTACCAATAGCAATTACATAGCTCCTTGGCCTATATATTCCATGGATTGGTGCAAATGGCCTATCACGGGGAGCTCCAGCTCGTTCGGGGGCAAGATTGCCTTGGGAAGCTACCTAGAGGATAACCACAACTACGTACGCGTACCCCTGCCACCTTGCATTCTTCATATTCGCAACCTCAAAGTTGTGCTAATTTGGAATAGATACAAATTATAGATACCCATTGGACACAACCCGACCCCGATACGCCGGATGCCGCCGCGGGGGAGATTAAGCTCGACTATGTGAAAACCGCAGAGGCCACCCATTCATATCCAGTAACACGGATACTCTGGGAGCCGCCGTCATCGCAGAAGCAGTCTACCGATCTGTTGGCCACGTCTGGCGATCATTTGCGGTTATGGTCGCTGCCAACGGCGCAACCCGTACCAAGTTCCAACACCATTACGCGGTCGGCCAGCCAACACGCACCGACAGCGAAACTGTCGCCGCTGGCTTTGCTCTCCAATTCCAAATCCCCCGAGCATACCGCTCCAATCACCTCATTGGACTGGAATACGATCTCCCCCAGTCTGATCATTACCTCGAGTATCGACACCACCTGCACGATCTGGGATATTCCCACCCTTACCGCTAAGACGCAGCTGATTGCACATGACAAAGAGGTATACGATGTTCGGTTCTGCGCGAATAGCGTGGACGTCTTCGTCAGCTGTGGCGCTGATGGTAGTGTGCGCATGTTTGATCTCCGCAGCCTAGAACATAGCACCATCATCTACGAGCCCACGGAGAAGCATGAGAAGGGTAATGCCAATTTGTTTCTTCTCAGAGATCCCTGCATTATGCGCTAACGGGTACCTGCTATAGTCCCCACTCCGGGCAATGGAAGTCCTTCTGGACAAGCCCAGCCCGTATGGCCCCCGCCTCTACTACGCATCGCTGGTATGTATTTGGTCAGATTTTGTGGCTGCGGTTGAAACTGGACGCTAACAGTCATAGCATCACCCCATGATTCCCACCTTCTTGCCACCTTCTCGCAAGATTCCAACATCGTGCGGGTTCTAGACGTCCGACAGCCCGGACAGGCTCTTCTTGAACTGAAGGGCCACGGCTCCTCCATCAACTGCGTTGAGTGGTCGCCCAATCGCCGCGGGGTTCTGGCCTCTGGTGCGGACGATTGCTTCGTACTTCTGTGGGACCTCATCAACCAGCACAATGCGGCTCCTGTGCCCCCCATGCCTCCCGCCCCGCATAATGCGGGCACGCCCGCGACACCCAGTGAGCGTGGCCCGGCCGCCGTATGGCTCTGCGACAACGAAGTGTCGAACATCAGCTGGTCGCCGCAGGGCGGTACCACCCCTGCCGGTCATCCGCGCGATTGGCTCGGGGTCTGCGGTGGACGTGGATTATGGGGTGTGGCACTGTAGCGCCATGGAGAAAAGCACTATTAGACGACTTGTTGTTTCTTTTTCAACTTACACTACACCATCGTCTCGCGTTGCTGTGTTTTCTTTTTTTTTTTCTGTTGGCTTTACTTTTTCTTTCACCTTTTGGATTTTGCTGCCACCTTCGGTATCCCCTCACGCTGTAAAGAGATTCTTGGGTTGTTAACTGGCATGGTATGAGTGAACGAATGAAACGAACTAGCGTATAGTCGAATGAGTACCTAGGTGTATTTCAGGGGCACTTGGGTTGTGCTTTTTATCTCGTTTACAAGTGGATATCTTGAACGGGGAGTGGATGAAGCCGGGTATAACTTATAGCTACTACTCCCGTCAATCTATACTATACAACCTGCACCATTGACAGGCACAGTCCAAGGCATGGTAAAAAAACACTCTACAATTCTAATGGTAAAATCAGAGCTTTACCATGTATCATCTTAATATTCAAATGTATTTGTACACTGAGTAAGACGGGAGTGGAGGCAGCGTCGCAATGAGACTCAGAGCGGTGCAACCTTAGGGCGGGAAGGCAGCAGGGAAGGGACTACTAACTAACTATACACTCAATGCTACTTTACTACTTACTACTTTCTACTTACTACTTACTGATTAAACTTATCGGTGATGTGTCTTCCCCATTTCTCGACTGACAGCTAGATTAACCATTTCTCATCCTCATTCCACTGCGCTTCATCTTCCATCGCTCTCTTCTCTTCCCCAAAATTCCTTCTTTCTATGGGAGCTCCGAGCCGCCAATCGGCCACCCGCCAATTGCACGCCAGAATACGGTGCCGATCCCGCGACGTGAACTTCTCGACCTTCAATTCAGCTCTCCTCATTCTTCCCTTCTCCTCTTCCTCCTCGACTTCGGCTTCTATCCCGGCTCTTTCGTGCCCTTCGCCCTTCCACCCTGCAAATCGCCAACTCACTGGCGATTGCCTCATGCCGTCATTCCTCGCCATTCTCTCGTGACTTCTCCGAGCTTTCTGGCTGGAGTTCAGCTGTCCCCAAGTGATCGTGGAAGGGAGTCTGCAGCTTCCCTCTTTCTTGCTACTCAACACCTTCAGGTTGTCGCTTTCTAGCCAGCTGTCACCATGGACTTGCGCACCATCATGAACACGGAGAGCGCTGGCAACTCCAGCGCTCCCTCCCAACCACATCCGTCGCCATCTCAAGCGCCTCGCGATTCCTCCGACCCCATCTATCCTCCGCACGACCAGCTGCCATCCTCATCCTCCTATCCGTCAGCCTTTCCCGGCCCTCCGCCGCCGCAACGATCTCACGCATCTCCCGAGCGCTCTTCCTCCTACGGATCTCTTCAATCGCCTTACCAATATCGTCCCTCACCGGCCGTAATTCCAGGCGCGCCATCCCAACGAGCTCCGACCCCTCCTCCCTACGGTGCCTCCGTCTCGCGTGACTCCTTCGCCGCGTCCGTCGCTTACAATCAACAGCAGCAGCAGCAGCAGCAGCAGCAGCAGCAGCAGCAGTCCCCCGTCGCTCAACAACGGTCGCAATCCATCCAGTCTGTTTTAACCCCCTATTCCCATTCCTCCAACTCATTCCATCCCAGGGAAAGTTCCCCGACAGGCGCTGCACAACCTTATCCGTCGCAACATTTCTCCCCTCCGGCACAAGGATCGCTACCGAATACGCCACGAGGGTCTGCTGCTGCTATCTACGCCCACCAATCACCCCAATCTTCTGTTCGTCCTCAATCTTCAGGTCGTGACTCTCTTTCGAATCGAGCTTCCAGTCCGTGGGTGGGCCCGGACGCTGCCGCTGCCGCCATGCACGTGTCGCCCTCCACCGCGGCGCGGTCATCGCGAGCAGAATCAAGAACACTAGACCAAACTCCGCGCAAACACGGTTCCACCTCAGAAAGAAGGGAGTCAGACGAAAGTGTGAGCCCGAGAACTACCTTCCTCCCAGGGGCTCGTCCCGAGGCAACTACGGCACGTCCCGACCAGACCGCTTTATCGCAGCCAGAACACGTTGAGAATGGAACTATAATAAAGGAGGGCCAACCTACGAACCCAAGTCTTCCCACACATCAGCAACACATCAACAGTTCCCCCTCGTCGAGAATGTCCATCACAAAGGAATCGTCTGTGGAGGATTCGGCGCCCCAGTGGGCCCAAAAAGCTAGAGTGGCTTCAGACCCGAAAATCACGTCGAGCCCGCAACAGCCCAAGCGAAAACGGCGAAGGCTCAACGAACCGCCTATCTACGCCCAACGATGTGCTCGTTCGAAAGGAAGATGTCCCCCAATCCCAAAGCCACACCCGC